GTAAAACAATGATTGTTGTAACTAATGGTTAATTTAGTTATTAGTCCATAAACAATTACCTATATATACCTTCAAAGCATATAAGAATAAATTTAACTAGTCAGACCCTCCATATAAAAATTAAAAATTCATATTTCAAAAGCTAAAATTTTGAAAAACCAAAAATTTGAAAACACCAATTTTTTTCTTCTTTCTTTTCACAAAAAAATAAATAAATTAAAACACTAAAATATATCTCTTTTATCCTTCCATAAATTAGAAACACTCCCCCACTTCTTTCTCTTCCATAAAATTGAAAGAACCAAATTTCCCTCCTCTTTCTCTTCCATAAAATTGACGAACCAAATTTTTCTCTTTCTTCGCCTTACACAAAAAGTTGAAAACTCAAAATTTCTCTCCTTATTTCTCTTTCATAATCAAAAGAACCAAACTTTCCCACTTCTTTCTCTTCCCACAAATCAAAACCACCAAAATTACCCCTTGTTTGTTTTCTCAAAAATTCAAATAACCAAAATTTCCTCTTCTTTCTCTTCCAAAAAGTTGAATACACCAAACTTTCCCTCTTTTAAAAGTATCAAATTACCAAATACATTATTTTAATTTATTTATATGTAATTGATAATTTTATTGAATAGTTAAATTAACTAAAATTTTAATTTATATATTATATTAATATTATCCATGATCTCAATTATTAATTCTTCAATATTAATATTGACATTGTGTTGATTTTATATTTTATATTATTTTTTTAATTTTGTTAAAGAACTTAGTGTTCAAGTGACGTTCATGTTTCAATTTTTGTAATTTTCTTAAAATACATAATATCACGTGAGTTTCCTATTTTTTTAAATCTCCTATACGAAATGAAAAATAAATTTTACCTAATTTTAGAATGAAAAACTTTATTTTGAAAAACTATGTATTGTATAATATAATAATTATTCAAGTGGATTAGGTGAAGTTCGGGTTGAGTCGGTCGGGTTACAGGTTAGTTGGGTTTGGATCAATCCAATTCGATCTTTGGGCTTAGATTTGAGGTAAAAAACCGTTCGGGATCGAAAACTGGATAAAGAGCGGATAAGAGAGCTCAACACCCAAAACTTAAAGGTAATTTGCATAAACTGTCACAAACTTTTGCACTTAGTACAAAACTTAACCAACTCCTCACCCTTTCAGGTTTTAGGTCACTCAAATTCCCACAAGCTCAATATAAAATAAAGACCGAATTGGGACCAGATCGGATCAAGACCGGACCGGATCAAAACCGGGATGTATCCAATCCAATCTTTGGTCCTTATATTTTCAAAAAGACCGGACGGGACCGGATCAATTCGGGCCAATTTAACCGGACCGGACCGTATAGCCACCCCTAGTACTCCTTTTGTTTAAACAGTGGCGTTTTACTCTTATAATTTCAAATTTTCAATTTTTTTTAGACATGTTGCACTGCCAAAACTTTTAGCAACGCTGTGCGATGGCAAAACGGAGCTGTTGTTGCCCTAAATCTTTTTATATTATTTATTTTCCCTCAACGTTGTGATAAGCCTCCTTTCGCAACACTGCGGGCCTGCGACACTCCAAAACATTGGCGTTTTTCGAGTCCATGTTGGCCATGTTGCTTCATACCTCCGTTGTAGTCTTTGACTGAAACAAACGGCCACAAAATTTTCGCAGCTCTGTTTTGGCTAGCTCATTTCGACGCGGCCGCACTGTTGTGCCGGCCACACGCCATCATTTGTTTTCTCGAGTTTGTGCTCCAAACAAGGTTGCGACTTGCGAGGTAGTTTAAGACTCAACTGCACGATATTAGACTACAACAATCATACAGGACTGTTGGATCGATCATTACTGCAGGGTTATGATCATACTCATCAAACCTGTACAGTCACAACCTTGCGTGGCTTTTCCACGTGGCTGCAATGCTACCATTCTCTTTCGTTCTCCGGAATCAAAAGCAATCTTGTGGCCGTAGCATTGCATCAGCCAACCTCCAACATTGTTTAATTATTATATTTGTTCTTTCATTACGGCAACCTTGCTTTTGGAGTTCCATTCCTTCTCTAACTAGGACACATTGGCATTGCTTTCCAACTAATTTTGCCAAGCAACTTGTGGCAAAGAAAAACACAGACACGGTAACTTATGAAAGCTAAACGACGTTGCTTTGGCCGATGCTCTTAACCATGACATCTCCGTAATTTTTTTCGGGCCAAATACGTTGCATTTAAATCACCCTCCTTTTTTAACACAACGCCGTTTTCATTCACCACCAACTCTGATTATTGTTTCTCACTCCCGCTCAACAGGCTTGTTTCGGCTGTTGTTTTGTTCATCTTGTATTTTGAAACGTTGTTGTCGCCCCAACATCACTGTTGAGCAGAGTGGAAACCAAACCTCCACCTTGCGGTAGAACTCCAATTTTTTCCTTTCTCCACGGTGTTGTTTTGGCTGGAATTGTTTAATTAATTAATTTATTTATTTATCTCGTTAGCTTGGCCACAAAATCACTCAATTAACAATAAACTTCATGGCAAAAAATGGATAAATTGATCACATCCGAAGCCTACGCCACATTCTGGTTGGCCTTTTCGAAACAACGAAGAACTTGTTTTTATTCAGGACTAATGGTGATCAAACAAATCTGGTTTAGTTGTTTTAGTTGTCGTTGGTACAATAAATGATAGAAGGGACCGGTTACTATAACAACACCCCTTTTGTTGTTATTGTAACAATACTAGTCTCCAACCAATAGGAAGCTAGGATTGTGATGACTTTTTATTAGATGAGTTGACCTAGTGTAAAATCAAAGCAAGGGTATAATTGTCATTATGAAAAATCAGTTGATATAATAAAAAAATAAAAAAAATAATTTTTTTTTTATTTTCTGCCCAAAAATTTGGTCGCCTGAATTCTGCCACCGGTCGCCGGTCACCGGAATATGCTTTTTGTCGCCGGAATATGCTATTTGTCGCCGGAATATGCTTACCGGTGTCGGAATATGCTTACCGGCGTCGGAATCTAGTCATCGGTGCCGGAATATGCCTATCGGCGTCGGAATCTGCTCACTGACGGTCACCGGAGTTCGGTCAACGAACTTCGTTGACCGGTCAACGGTCTTCGTTGACCGGGTCAACGGTCAACGAAGACCGGATGTATGGTCTACATTGTGAGATTTATGGTTTGGTTTCTCATATTTTCGTATGTCTTTTGTGGTTTGCTTTATCGTGTTTGTGGTTTGGATTAAGAAGTTTCTGGTTTGCTTTATCGTGTTTGTGGTTTGCATTGAGAAGTTTCTGGTTTGCTTTAAAAAACTTTGTGGTTTGCATTGTCAGGTTTCTGGTTTATTTTAATATATTTGCGGTTTGCATTAGGACGTTTATGGTTTGCTTTTTTGTGGTTTGATTTACTGTGTTTGTGGTTTGCATTAGGAGGTTTCTGGTGTGCTATCGTAAATGTTGTGGTTTGCTTTATGAGGTTTGTGGTTTGTTTTAGGAGATTTGTGGTATGCATTCGGAGGTTTCTGGTTTGCTTTATTGTGTTTCTGGTTTGCATTAAGAAGTTTATGGTGTGCTTTCGAAAATTTTATGGTTTGAATTGTGGGGTTTCTGGTTTGTTTTAATATATTTGTGGTATGCATTAGGAGGTTTGTGGTTTGTTTTACCGTGTTTGTGGTTTGCATTATGAGGTTTCTAGTGTGCTTTTGGAATATTTGTGGTATGCTTTGTGGGGTTTTTGGTTTTTTTTAGGAGATTTGTGGTATGGATTGGGAGGTTTCTGGTACGCTTTTTTGTGGTTTGATTTACTGTGTTTGTGGTTTGCATTAGGAGGTTTCTGGTGTGCTATCGTAAATGTTGTGGTTTGCTTTATGAGGTTTGTGGTTTGTTTTAGGAGATTTGTGGTATGCATTCGGAGGTTTCTGGTTTGCTTTATTGTGTTTCTGGTTTGCATTAAGAAGTTTATGGTGTGCTTTCGAAAATTTTATGGTTTGAATTGTGGGGTTTCTGGTTTGTTTTAATATATTTGTGGTATGCATTAGGAGGTTTGTGGTTTGTTTTACCGTGTTTGTGGTTTGCATTATGAGGTTTCTAGTGTGCTTTCGGAATATTTGTGGTATGCTTTGTGGGGTTTTTGGTTTTTTTTAGGAGATTTGTGGTATGGATTGGGAGGTTTCTGGTACGCTTTTTTGTGGTTTTTTTTATCACGTCTGAAGCGAGTATGTCTTGCAAATCGATGAAAGGAAAAGAGAGCAGGGATTAATCATACTTTATCATCCACGTCAGTATTGTGGCTCAACCATGAATAGGCCTCTCTAAAATCATCAAAAACATGCAAGCCACCATCATTCGAGTGAGATGTAAGAACAATGGAAGGGGCTGAATAAGCTTCTGCTGCTGCCCATACACAATGAACCTGTACAGAAACACAAGTTAGATTCCAATCAGTTCTAGATCCCCAACTCTAGCCCACCTCTATTTGACAATAAATACTTCGCCAGAGAAGTGCAGAACAAAACCACGATGCAGATCTCTATTCTTGAAATATAATATTTTAAACAGAAACAAAGTGCTAAACCTGACCAACCATCAACAACCTTATTTTTCCAGGTCTAACTTGGTCATTGTACTTAAATTAGCACATTTGCATGTTGTTTGTAGTTAGGAATCTATTCAGAGAAAGTATGGACGTTTTCTCATAGAGAAGTGGGAAGCTTCGAACAGATACAGGGCACCAAGATTCATTATAGAAAATTACTTTAAATCCTTCAAAGGAAGAGGTTACATACCACGTAGAAGGCACCAAGCAATACAAGCAAGAGAACAGCAATGACTGAGGCTTCCAAAGGTAAGACAAGAAGCCTCTTCTCAGTTTTGGGAGGTTTTTGGTTTGCTACTCCAAATCCTTCTTTCCCCAACTAAACAAATTGACCAGATTTCCTCATTTTCCCCTTCATCTCAAATCCCTTTCTCTCTTCCCTCTTTCACACTATCGACTAATTAATGGCGAATGCATCGACGGCGGACTCCCCCGGCCGCCGCGACAGCGAGGGAAGCAATCTGCAGCGGAGCAGCAGCGTGTGGGAGATCGAAGAGGAGAGTGAGCTGTTCGAGATCAACCATGGAAGGGCGGCAATGGCGAGCATCAAGGAAGAGATCAGCCTGATGGACGCCGGGAGCATGTTCTCCGTAGACGTCAACGGCAGCGGCGGGGGAGCGGAGGACTGCGTGTACTTCGAGTAGGGAAGGGCGATTCCAGCCTCGAAGCGGTGGCTTGGGCGGCGGCCCAATCCAGCTCCGCCACCGTGGCTGCTCCGAGGGCCCCTACGGCTCGATTCACGCCGAGAACGGCAACGGCAATGGCTACGGCGACGCTGACCTTCACTTCTGATGGTCCCGTGCTGCCTCCGCCGACTGAGATGCAGAAGGAAGGTGTTGCGCTGGCGGAGATGGATTCATTAGATTTTATTTTTATTTTATTTTTTTATATTAAATTACCCTTTTACCCTTAATGAATCATGTTGTTACAATAACAACACTAAAGGTGTTGTTATTCTATCCAAGCCCATGATAGAAATAACATAAATTACTTACCGTTCGTAGCACGGAGACGGAAAACGAGAGAGGAAAAACACTGCTACAACTTGCAAGCCTGCAAAAGCTCGACCTTCTCACCATTTAATGCCAACCCAGCAAAGCTGCCCCTATTTTTCATTTTCTCTGTATTCCTGCATACCAACTCAACTGTGCTTGAGTCTAACTAAAATACCAGCAACATTGTTTGGTCCCCGCGACAGCGTTTTGAAATAGTCCTTTATACGCAAACATGCTCGATTTGGCCGAGAACAGCTGTGATTTTTCTTTCTTTGCCCGCAAGGTTGAGCGACAACTACTTACACCACTATTTTTCAAAAACACTAGCGTTTTGATTTTTTCTTTCATCAAGATTGCCATTTGACAACAATTGATTTCCCCCTTCCGCTAGACTAGTATACAATGGCAACTATGATCATTCCCCTTCGTTTTGCAGCACTATAGTTTATTGGACTTCAAGAGCAATGCGTATTCTTTTCTCCGCATCGGGACCAAACCGATATAGTTTGGGAGAGGAACACCGAAACGGTATCGTACCCCTCTTCCCTTTTTGTTAAACAACACTATTTACCTCCTCCGCGAAGCTGTTCTCCCTTAAACAAAACAACTTTGTTTTTTTGGTCACATATTTTGTATATTTTGGCCAAAATTTCCTCATTCCTGTGCGATTTCAAACTTCCAACAGAGTTGTTGTGAAACAGCAACACAACGTCACTTTGGCCATTATTGGCCCCGACCGCTCTTTTGAGTACATAAGCAGCACACGTTCTTTAATTCTACATTGAGGCCGAGATAGCATTGCTGAAAAGAGGGAAATCAAAACATCATTGTTGCAACAGTTTTATTTAGTGACTCGGACAAACGAAGAGAAGAAAAATAATTTGGTATTATACCACACTGGCTGGGATTATGTTGCCCCTACCGTTGACCTTAAATGCCTTAAAGTTTCTTTTTTCTTTTTTGTTAGTCACTAGAGTTGGAAAAATAGCATATTTGTTGCACGCTTCACCAAGCTCGTACTACTCAACCATGTTGTGCAAAGTTGGTGGCCGACGAGGCCACACCCTTCTTTGCACGTTGTTAATCATCATTGTTCAAACTAATGACCAGTGCCGTCCCATAGGGACGTCACGTATGGCTTTAAATATTTGCCACTTATCAAACGCTCATGCATGACTCAATCCAAGTCTTTTAGCAAGTATGCTCCATTAGGACGCACAGAGTGCACCACGAATGGTCCACGCCAATTCAGCGACTATTTTCCAAATTTGGGATCTTTTTCCCCAATCAGCAAGTGAGTTTTCCAAACCAGTTCGCCCTCTTCGAACGATATATGTCGAACCTTCTTATTGTAAGCTCTGGCCACTCTTGCTTTCTGTACTTGAACATTATCGAGGGCCCGAAGTTGCAGTTCATCAAGATCACAAAGCTTGAGCATCATTGATTCATGATACTCCTGGGGCGTTAGTTCGTGCTGCTTCATATACCGAAGTGAGTTAACGGTCACCTCTACGGGGAGGAAGGCTTCATGACCGTAAGTTAACGAGACGGGTTCACTCTCGTACTGCTTCGTGGTGACATCCTGTATGCCCACAACGCTTCTGATGAAACTTCATGCCAACATCGTGGATTATCCTCAATCATCTTCGTCAAAATATTTTTTACGACCTTGTTTGGTGTTTTTGCTTGCCCGTTAGCTTGTGCATAATACGGCTTGGAATGGATAATCTTTATCCGCCGTTCTGCCGTGAACTCCATAACTTGCCCCCCAGTGAACACAGTTCCTTGGTCCGCCGTTATTGTTGCCGGCAAACCAAATCGGTGAATGATATGTTCTTGTATGAAAGAAATCACTTCATCTTGGTTCGCCACTTTCAATGGTTTGGCTTCCACCCACTTGGTGAAGTAGTCAGTAGCCAAAATTATAAAAACGTGTTTCTTTGATGATGGAGGGTAAATCATACATATCAAATCCATGGCCCATCCATAACACGACCTCAGTTTGATTATGGACTTTAGATCAACCGTCGACGCTCTTTAAACATGGCCATGGCGTTGACAAGCTTCACAACCCTTGGCATATGCAGCACAATCTGGTCCAATGGTGGGCCAGTAGAATCCGTAGCGATGTAGAATCCATCACATGGAAGGACCAGCTTGGTGAGCTCCGCATATTCCTTCATGCACCTATGCCATGGCCTGCAATGCTTCCTTGCCCCCCAAGCATTTCAACAATAACCCATCGGGTCTACGCTTATACAAGGTTCCATCCAAAACTACGTAACTCCTTGCCCTAAATTTGATAACATGGTCATCCATCTTGTTTGGATCTTGCAAGTAAGCCAACAGTGGTGCACGCCAGTCATCGGTGTCCTTCTCTATTATGCAAAACCCGATCCACTCTCAAACGCTCCCGTAAGGGTTTTGAGTGTTTGCACCACTATCTTCTCTACCGCATTGCTTTTAAAAAACTCCTTAAATCCCGAAGCCATTTGTGAAAGATAGTTGGCTTCGTTGTTGTCCATTCAAGGGACAAAGTTGATCGCCATATTGTCGAAGTGGGAAGTTAACGACAACACGCGATCTAGATATGTTTCTAGAACACTATTCATACAACGCGAACTTGATGGACCACCAACTGTGCATCTCCCTTAGCATCCAATAGCGCAGTCCATGCTCAATGAGCATTTCCAACCCAACTACCAAGGCTTCATATTCAGCTGGCTGTTGGTACAAGGAAAATCCAATGAGAATGCAAAATGCATGGCACAACCCGATGGTGATTTCAACATCACGCCAGCTCCAGCGCCGCCACAAGTTTTGGATCCATCAACGTACAAGATCCATGGTGTTATACCAACCTCGCTAACTTCTACGGGATCGCTTGGCACTTCAATGCAGGGATGATCTGCCAAGAAATCCGCCAATGCTTGCCCTTTTACGGCTCGTTGATGTACATGCTCTAAATTAAATTCAGACAGAGCCAAAGTCCATTTGCCAATTCGGACATGAATAATTGGCTGAGATAACATGTATTTAATCAAGTCTATTTGGAAAATAAGTTGCACCTGGACAGCGACAAGGTAGTAGCGTAGCTTCGTACAAGAAAAGTATACGCTAAACACAAGTTCTCTATGGGGGAATATTTTCTCTCACCCTTGTTCAAAAGCCTACTTAGATAATAAATGGCCTCTTCATTGCATGCTTCGTTGTCTTGGGCCAACAAACACGCAACAGAAGTGTTTGTGGCCGACAAGTACAACTTCAACGACACCCCTGTTTTGGGAGAGTTCATCGCCGACGGATTCGCCAGGTACCTTTTGATGTCATCAAACGCTCGTTGATGTTCTTCCCTCCATACAAACGTGTCTTCCTTCATCAACTTTAGCAATGAGGGAAACACTTGAGTCCGGCCAGCACAATTCGAGATAAATCTTCGAATGTAGTTTACCTGGCCCAGGAAACGTTGCAACTCTTTTTTACTGGATGGTGGTGCGACATTGATAATGGCTTTTGTAGTTTACCTCTTCATTTCATGCTTCGTTGTCTTGGGCCAACAAACACGCAACATAAGTGTTTGTGGCTGACAAGTACAACTTCAGCGACACCCCTGCTTTGGGAGAGTTCATCATCGACGGAGTCGCCAGGTACCTCTTGATGTCATCAAACGCTCGTTGATATTCTTCCCCCCATACAAACGTGTCTTCCTTCTTCAACTTCAGCAATGAGGGAAACACTTGAGTCCGGCCAGCACAATTTGAGATAAATCTTCAAATGTAGTTTACCTGTCCCAGGAAACGTTGCGACTCTTTTTTACTGGATGGTGGTGCAACATTGATGATGGCTTTTATTGTATTGCCATCCACTTCAATTCCACGTTGGTTTACTAGAAAACCAAGAAAATTTCTTGCACTCACACCAAACGCACATTTGAGTGGATTTAATTTTAACTTATGAACACGCATACGCAAAACTGCTTTGCGGAAATGAGCAAGGTGGTGGTTTGTCAGCTTTGATTTAACGATGATGTCGTCCACGTACACTTCGACAAGCTCGCCAATCAATTCATGAAATATTGCATTCATGGCTCGTTGGTAAGTTGCCCCAGCGTTGCCCAATCCAAATGACATCATGATCCACTTGAAACAGCCAATGGACCCTGGACACCGAAACACCATTTTGTGTACATCCTCCTCGGCTATGTATATCTGGTTATAGCCCGAGTTACAATCCATGAAAGAGAATCTGACATGCCTGGTTACAGCGTCGATTAACATGTCAGCAACCGGGATGGGATACAGATCTTTTGGTGTAGCATTGTTCAAATTTCTAAAATCCACACATACACATATTTTGACATTTTTCTTTCTAACAGGAACAATGTTCGACAACCACAACACATATCTAGTAGTCCTAATAAACTTAGCTTTCAATAAAAGTTCAATTTCCTTTTTCACTTCAGGCAAGATATCATGTGAAAAACATCTAGGTGGTTGTCTATGTGGCTTATACCCTTCTTTGATTGGAAGTCTATGTTCAACTAACATCCTATCGAGACCAGGAATTTCATGATAATCCCATGCAAAGCAATCTTTAAATTCTTTAAGGAATTCAATTAATTCGTACCTGTCAAACTCTGGCAAGCTAGT